ATTCTAGTCTCAGGGTCTTGAATAAAAAGTTATCAATTATTCAGCTAAACCAAAAAATAGACGATTTTATTACCTTTATTCTCCAAAGATATTAAGTGAAAAATAATTCTTTTGCTGGTTAGTTTGGTGTGCTATGTCTCTAGCTTGGGGTATGCTAGGCAGTAATGTATCTTTAACCTAGAGGTGATGGGAGAGAGGCAATGGGTGGAGAAACATCTCAGGGGCATCTGGAGGGCTCTCTTTTTGCTCCTGTGGCTTTTCAGAAACATCAGTTATTCGTCGGAACCAAACTTGTTCCAAACTGGCTGCTTTAGGAATCATTTATCCATTCATTTTTCATTTTAAGTACTTAACCGAGCACCTGCTCCATGCCAAGTAGATGCCCTACGGGATTCTAAGCAGAGAACTGGAGTACAGCTTGGCTTCTAGCAGGCAACTCTGCCTGTAGGTGATGGTGGTACAGGGAGGACCTAAGCTAGGTGATAATGGAAGGGGCTTATTTGATGACACCAGACAAGGGGCAGGTGGGGGGAGTCCCAGCTGGCTTATGTTTGAGACTGGTCGGCTGGCTCGGATGTCTGAAAAGATGAGTCTGAGGGGTTAGTAACTGTCAGACTGAGCAATCTGGCAAGCAAGAGGATATTTGGGAGTAGAGCTAGGAGAAGAAATTGGAAACAGCTTTGGAGTAGACCTTTTCTTTGCCAAGGAGATAAGAAAGGAAGTGGAAGAAGAACCTTGAAACAAAAAAGGGATACTCAGAGCTAAGGTCATTGGCTGCAGTGGTCATTAGTCTGGCAGAGAAAGTTTCAAGGAGAAGTAGGAAGATGGTGGGGAGAACGTCCCTCCCAATTCTGACTCCCTCCACCCCTTGCAAAATAGACTTCTGGACAGGGTCTTAGGGAAGACAACATATTATCTCATGTTGTAGAATGGTGCTTGTCTTAAAGAGGCCCCTCCTCACTGTCTGCACACAGGTCAGGACCCTTTGAAGTGCGAGCAGACCTTGAGGAGTCCATGGAATTTGTGGATCCTGGAGTTGCTGCTGGAGAATCAGATGAGAGTGGAGACGAGCACATAAGTGATGAGGAAACCGACTTAGGGACGGACTGGGAGAACCTGCCAAGCCCCCGGTTTTGTGATATCCCTTCCCAGCCTGTGGAAGTCTCCCAGAGCCAGAGCACCCAGGTGTCTCCACCCATCGCAAGCAGCAGTGCAGGTGGGATGATCTCCTCCGCTGCAGCCTCCGTGACCTCCTGGTTTAAAGCTTACACTGGACACCGTTAATGAGCGTGGACCAAAACATGTCAAGTTTGCATCAGGAAAGTTCTCCCACTACATTCTGGTAAACCTTATCTGTTCAGTTAAGATAGCANTTTGTCAAATGGTCTATGATGGTGACCTACATTCTTATAATTAATAGAACAGATAGGGCAAAGGTCCTTCTCCCCAGACCAGTGCTGGTAGGAGGACCCGTGTGTGTGGCCATTTCTTTTGAGGAAGAGATTTGGGCTCCCTCTGGTCCCAGGCCACAGGACCCACAGACACTGGTCAGCGCGTTGGTCCTTGTGTTGCTGAGACTGTTCCTGAGAGATTGGTTGAATCACAAGAAAGTGATTCTTGATTAGGACTTGAAAGATAAAAACTGTTCTAATATGAGTGTTTTTGGGCCAGTGTTTATTGTGCAGAGAACCAAAAGGCAATTTGAAATATTTGATTTATTTGGTCATCTTTGGTTTTTAGATCAAGGATTTTGATTTTTGTTTCGGAGGGGGATAGTTTAACACTTATTTTATTTGTGCTGCTCTGTCATATCTTGTCAGACATTCCTGTTTTTCTTTCTCCCACACACCAAAGAAACAGGTCTTTTTTTCTTTAGGACCCACATCCATCAATAGAGGAAATCCTAGCTGCAGTAATGTCCTGAAGATTTTTTTTT